TTAGAACGGAGAAACCCGAGCCCAAGGACAACTCAGACCATCCAGTCCTGAAGTTGGTCTGTGCTGAACATCCCTCTCTCACTGGGAATTTCATTTCATGGTGTAAAACAGAATTTTAACTATAACATTCAACTTTTGAACATCAAGAACATACAATTGTCCTTGAGTGATTATTGAAAGAACTTATCTCTTTGTAAAGGGGCAATATGACTAATTTATGCCTGATAGGGCCCACACTACACAGAAGTTTATCAATTATAATGAAAATGTTTATGTGCACAGACATTTTAGTCCCCACATAGATCACTTCTGCAGTCTTCCTTATTAATATTTGTTAAAGAGTAGCCTGGTCTAGTGAAAGGTTTCCTGCCCATGGCAGGGGGAGTAGGAACTGGATGATCTTCAAGGCCCTTTCCAACCCAACCCATTCTAGGATTCCATGGTTCTATGATTTTATATAATGTGTGATTTTCCAAAAGCATGCAGGATTTTTCCCAGCTATTTCCAATTAAGTGCACTTTGTTCATGGAATATTCTCAATTTTCAGTCAGTTCTTCTGAAGCAACATGTGCTTAACGCTTCAGAAAATTACCATAATACAGAGATAGATCCTCAGTTTGCTGAGGATGACTTGGAAAGGGCCAATAAAATTACTTGGAAAGACAAATGTTTCCTTGTCAGTTCCATTCCCAAACATCAGCTACTCTCCCACCCCACCAAAAATCCCTTACCAGCTACAACAGTGAAATCAGCTTCAACATCACAAGCTATAACATCTCCATTTTTTATGTGCTTCTTCACAGCATCTTTGACTTTGCCCATTCCTAATTCATTTCCTCCATCTCCAACACCTTTATAAAAGGGAAAAAGACAAAATGAGTATGAACACAGCATAAAACTGACAATCCCTTTAGAAAACATCCAATTTCTTCCCCACAGTTGCTGTGATATTTCATAGCTCCATATGAGATGGTTTATCCTTTTTTCATCCACAGCACCTAAAAACAGAAGACTCTGAATGAAATAGCTGGAAGAATTATCTATTACATGCCAACCTCTAAGTTTATCATGCAATGTACACTGTACATTGCCTGCATGCAAAAGAAATCACAGTTATCAAGTGGTGAATTGCAGACAGAATCAAGACAGTGAACTTTGCTCATGGAAGGCCTCACATGAGTGCTCTATATAATGTGTTATCACAAGTACATAATCACAAATAAAGAAAGAAGACAGAAAACTAAACCCAAATCAAGCTGAGAAATCAGCCAACAACTATACGATAAAGCAAACATAGAAAACCTTGGCTTGTTACAAGCTTTAATCAAAAAAACCGAATAGAAATAACAATTATTGCAGAAAGACAAGCAAAAATATCCATAAGGATTTGGGCAGAAGCAGGCCTGACTGCAGGGCCCACCTGTTTGATACAGATCCTTCATGTGCTGCAGTACACAAAGAGGCCAGCCCCATATACTATTACTGTTTTCATTTTCCACATCACTTACCAAAAAAAATCTTTATTTATTTTAATTTTCTTATATACTGATGTGGGACCTAGATTTTTGTTGCACAAATAGAAATACTGCGTATTTGTCTTAGTGCTTTTAGTGAAATCAATGAGATCTATGCAATTTCAGGAAAATTCTAGGCAACCTGATATTTAGGACATAAAGTTGTCAGACGACATTCTGGAGATGAGCAAAATATATAAACTAGCAGTTCACATAAAAGCTGGATAGTACCTCTAGTCTCTTACCAATATATTAAAAAACATACTAAAATTATTTATTATTTAAAATTATTAATAAATTATTATTACTATTGAGTTGGAAATTAAAATTTCTCTTTCATCTGTTAGTCTGAATGGCATCTTCTTCAATTTGAAGATTTTACAGAAAAATCCCTGACCATGACTGTGAAACAGAACAGTGAAGAGCTCCAAGTCCTCACCGTGATGTATCAGATTTGAATTTGAAATGTGACTATGCTCTAATGCATAGTATGTGTTACAGCAGAGAAATTACAATATTTATAATTTACATTTCAAGGCCTGAAAACTGGTAAATTTAACACTTTTAGTAACTGCATAAATATCTCATGTGTCTGTAGCAAATTTCTTCTTAAGTGAAATGGAAAGTTATTTCTCAGCAGCAATTTTTATTTGATTCCTTAAGTCTATCCAGTCAAGCAGGGTGTAACTGAGTGACACATAGCTTACATAAAAGGATTTGCCATGGAACAGCTACTCTTTTTTGTCTGCTTTAATAATCTGCTCACATTTATTTCGCCATTGGGAGTTAATGGTGCTTTCAAAAATCTCTTTATTGGTAGTACTTTTCAAACAGGTATTGATATAATCCTGGTGCTTCTATCCTCATATATAAACATGGAAGTTTTACTGCTTTGTAAGAATCACACACAATATTCTGCTTTTTATTACACTCAAAATTAAAATTTTTGCTCTCAACATTCTTTAAAAGGGCTGTGATGAATTCTTGTCTCATGAAAATGACCAACAGTTTATTTAACTGAAATGTACTGCTCCATTGCTCAGGGCTTTTTCTGTGTGCCCTGCTTTGCTTTTCCTGTCTTTGTGGGAGTCCTGTCACCAGGATGGCTGCACCATGAGTAGATCTATTGCTGTGGATGGATCCCATTTGTGTGACACTGGGAGGAAAAGAACACCCCACTGGAAAGTCTCCTCTCCCATCTGTTTTCTTCTTCCTCCACACATTGCCAGAGAACTGTACTTTACTGCAGATCCCAGGGTGAAATTCACCTGTGCAACACAGCCATCCATACATGAGCCAGTCAGCTTTGCTGCTTTTAAAGTCAGCAGAAAGAAACGCTCCTTTCACACATTCAGTTCATCTCACCCCAAGGCAGACATCTCAAATACAGACATCTGAAAATAGGCAAGATGAGTCCTCTTCTAAAGGCCCAATTTCTTTCCAGGCAAAGGAAAAATAGTTCTGCTGGATCTTCCATGCAAGTTCCCACTGACTACATTGTTTTCTGAAACTGCATTCATGAAATATGCAGGAGATATCAGTCTTCTGTGCTAAAAATCTTTTGTATGAAAGGAAAACGTGTGACCCCATTTTTTCATGAAGTACTTTGGAAGGCTTTTAATTAGCTCCTATATAAATAGCAGATAGCTATGTCAGTTGTATGACAGCTGAAAAAATAATATGTGGTTCCAGTAACATTTCTTAATCTTTTCTTTCAGACTTATGTGGAAAATGAGTCCCTTCCAAACTCAGCCTTTCATGGCTTCTTACTCTGTGAATTCCTCAAGGCTGTTCCTCACTCCCTGAGTTTTAGGATGTCAGTACCCATACAATTCAGGCATTGCTCATGCTTGGTCTGTGGTCAAACTACCAGATCAGATTTTTTTTAAAAAAACCACAGATCTTGTTTTAAATGCAACACTTGACAGCAATTAATCAGCATGTAACAAATGTTCTAACATTTCCCCTCTCCACCTACTGACACAGTGCTTCTTGCCACAGAGCACACTATATAAAGAATTTCTGTAGGCTGAAAACTTGATCTTTCTGGTATTCTAGCCTATAAGGTTATTCAAGTACTCCGCCCTAATTCTGTACAATATTTGCATTTATTCTGGAACTAGTCATATGCCTCCAAATTCCTACTGACCACAAAGAAAGTTGAAGACAGCCCCACCAGAAAAAAAAAAATCATCCTCATCAGCAGCAACACGTTGCTATCAGTAATGGGAGACAAAACACAAAGGCCACAGTGGCCAAGTTAAACTACACTTGGCAGAAAAACACTGAAAAACCCAACATCCAACCCAAGAAATTGCTACCCAATCAAAATAACAGACACAAAAAATGAATGTGATCAGCAAAACAAGAAATGTTAGCTGGATAACAGACAATGTAAGAAACAATTACATTGCTTTCTTACAGACACCCAGTCAGTTCTCCAGAGCAGAATATCCACTTACATAAATGCCATGGGAGAACAGAGCAGATCCCTTCATTGTCCTTTAAAGCCTCTGACTTGTTAAACCATTTTCTATGCAGAAATCTCTTTAGATAAAGTTCACAGCACTGAGACACACTGAATCTGAATAACTGCTTTTCTTCTTTTTCACAAGCCTGTGGTATTTTTTATTAATGGCATTTCATAGTATATTTGAATATTTAGAGAATGTTTGAAACAAACCACATTCTGCTGAACAGATTCAAATTCTCAGCTGGCAGAACATTCCAAACTCCAGTAAATGAATAGTATACTTTGAGCTGCTGTGGGAGATATTTGAAGAGATTAGGGTATTTTTACTAAAGAAATCAGGTTGTGATGTTATGTAAGTAGCTGAAGAGATCAAATTCTTTTATCAACAACCTAAAATCAGGGACAGGAGTTGAAACTAACAGCAGCAGATGAAGCTCTGAGGCAATTGCTAGACATCTTTATAAAACAGAGCTTTTCCTATATAATGCTTATAATACTTAGTCAATCTTTGTCCTCTTGAGACTGCCAAGACAGTGCCATCTAGAGTGCTTCCTTTTGAATGTTGGAAGGCACATCTTATGAAGAGGAAAAAACCCTGAATTAAATTCAAATACAAAGTATTGCAAATTTTACAATAATAACACATATCAGTGAAGTCCTCTGCTACACAGCTTTTAAATCATAATAGAGTGAAATCAGACTATGCATTATCTCTGCAGAAGCTCTCTAAATTCTGTGGAAACAATTGAAAACCAGCAAAACAGAGAAGCGAAAGTTCCCATGCTTTTGATAATACTTAGGAGTGAGTCCACAGCAATGTAAGAAGAAAAAAAGCTAAATCAGCAGATATGACAGAAATCAGTCTGGTATGGGTACTTATTTCTAATTTGATTTTAATATTTATAGAGATGATATATCTCCAAAACTGTCATTTGGGCCACACACGGTAGCAGGAAGCATTTCATTGTACAAGGATATTGTACAATGGTCTATGGTATATTTTTTCCAAACCAGATATAAATAAGTTTTCAAGAAAAAAAAGTTTGTTGCCTAAAGAGAGGCAACCAAAGCATTCTCATTCTAAGTATTAGCAAAGGCCAGTGTTATTTTGGTGGGAAGGACAAGGCATTCCTTTCAAGATTCTTACTGTACTCATGGATTTTGTTAGAGAAGGCACTTTTTTAATAGATGCAACTATGTAATCCCTGCTTAAAGGAATGTACTGCTAAGGACAATATAAACAAAGACTCTGTCCAGACTGCTGTTTTAACTTAGGTGCAACAATCATAAAACCAATACTTTAAAAAAGAATGCTACCATCCGACAATCATTTATGTTCTATGTTGCCTTCAACACAAAAAAATACAGAATAAAGTCACTATCAAAAACTGCACTTAGAGTGTATGTACATAGATTTGTGTCTAGGTAATACATTTGGGCTTGCTTTTTTTTTCCTTTTTGTCCTTAAATAACTTTGAAATAATTTTTTTTTTCTGGCTGTGAGAATCCCTCAATAGAAACCTGTAATTTTTCTCCAGCAACAGTGTCTTCAAATCCAATCCCAACAAACAGCTGCAGCCTGAAAGCAGCCACTCAGCACCTGCCTCCTGCTCCTCTTCAATACCAGTAGGAGCTCCTGCTCTGTGCTTCTCTTGCTTCTGAGAACATCACACAAACTCACACTCACCTGTTGTTGTGATTCCTGGAATGCTTTGTGCAGCTAAAAATAGCTCATCTATGGGATCCACGAGATGTTTAATGTTAACTTTCCTGGCATTGTAATAATTGCCATCAGCAGCCATCCCAGCACGTTCTATGGCTACCAGGTGATCAAATCTGGTCAGAGGTGAGTGAAAAAACAGAGGGGAGAATTCAAAGCTGTGATTTTCACATGAAAAATACTTCTGATGGCTGCTTGTGCTTGGTTCTACTTCTTGATCATTTGGGATTCAAGGTAAAACTTGGACACTGTTTTGTTATTTCTGAATGTAGTTGTCTATGTTTTTTTTTTTTTCCAAAGGTTAGTTTAGGGTTTTTTAAATAGCTTTACTGCAGCTCCCCTAAACCACATTTGCTACCAAGAAATTGAGAAGTTCCTGCAATCCTCCTAGCCAGCAATCCTTTGGGTCAGCCATCTGGCCTGGCTCTGCTTCACATTAAAGCAGAGAGTATCTTCTAAAATATTAGTCTCTGTAAGTGCATTCAAAGAAAGCAAAAAGTGGAAAATTAATGATCATCTAAATCCTTATTAGTGCAAATATATTCTCTGCTTAAAGTACATTTCTTGGCAAATATTCATCAGTTTCTAGTTAGGCAATGTTTGAGTCCTTAGATTTGGAGGATTTATTTTTAAGTGCATGGCTGTTTTGGTGCTTATGAAAGTAGACAGATGTACTGCAGCTGTCCTACATTTTAAGTAGAACTATAGCGCTCAGTTCTGCCACTGTATGTTAGAATTAAGTTATTTTGCTTCTGTTTCTCTGATTTTACTGTTAAGAGGTTACCACTTCTGCTGAATTACTTAATGTTCTTGTGGGTGGGTATCTACAGGGATTCCAGAGACCTTTAGCAGGTAACTTGTTTACTTAAAACAAATACTTCCTTCAGCCTTTTGGGACTAAGGGACCAATTTAAATATAATATGCCTATACTTTAATTAAGCATAGCTATAAAAGACATTTTTAAAATAACACATAAAAAATAAAGACAGTATCATGCATATTGTTACAGTACCCACTAACCTGTGGAAAGAGATGAGAATTCAATAAGTTAATGAAGCAAATACCAGGGTGAAAGACCTTTTTATTCAAGAATGCAAACTGAGGGCAACTATATTAAAATGCTTTACAAGGAAAGATCAATAAAAATGAGCAATGTACGCCTACTTCAAGGAAATATAACTTGCATTTTAAGTAATGAAATGAGCATGCAGCTACTTAGCAAATTCTCCAGTGCATTTACCCTAATCACACCATTACAAACACATGACATTTTATTAAGTCAGATCAGATTCCCTAGCTGTCAGACTAGAGCTAAAGCTCTAGAAAATGCACACTCTCCACAGCACGCTCCTTAGCTCTTTCACTGACTTTGATATAATAATTTTTGATCTTCTCACTGATTTAAAAAATGGTAAAATAATATATAGTGTGTGCACATATATTTATAAATAACAGCTGAAAATATTTTAGAAATTCTTTGAAGGAAAAGAACTATTGATATATGAAAAATTGTTTATTTTTTGTACTCCAGAAGTGCATAATTGCAGAGTAATGTGGAATTCTGTACTCAGTGTATGCTCCAATAACAGTGTTTGGCTTCAAAGTTTGCTCTGTGCATTCAAAGTCTTAAGGATTTACTTGCAGCCATTGTGCCCTCTTAGACCACGGTCCTTATTTTTATTATAATTTTGCATAGTAGAGGTGTGACCCATTCTCAAAAACTGAATGCACATACCTAGGTCTTGCAGGATTCCCATTCTCACACAAAAACATTAACGCTGAATTGGCATTTTCCCTTTGATAACTCAATAGAGGGATGGGCTTCTTCAGGATTCCTACCGGAAAGCAAAATGGAATTCAGATAATACATATTTTTTTAATGTATCTTTGAGTAACTTAAAAAAACAAAAGAAAGCAAAATTGCTAGAATAGTAAAAATTCAAGGTCTTTACACAGTTCTTCATGAGCTCCCTAGATTCTTACTTTAATTTAAACTTGTTTTGATGTAAATGCTGTTAAATGGGACCTTGAAGTAGAAAACAGGTTTACAAGAATAAGAACAGACATCCGCAATTTATCACATCCAGAATCAGTACTCAGCTATGTACACATTACCTTGATGCCAGCTAGGTTAACAAAATGTCATCATAGCAATGATGAGCAGGGCTTAGAGGATGAATTCTGATTCATTCTCTGGGGAAAAAAATGTCCTGGACTAAGTGACAGATTAAAACTTGTTGCAGTGTGAGCCTATTTCCTGTTTTACTTCCCAGTCCCTTCCCAGGTGTGGCAATACCTCTCTCTCTTCCCCCTCGCCTCCTTGCTGAGTGAGTTCTGTCAGTCAGGCTTAACATTCCAGCAAGGCCCATTGTGTGGTTGGTCACTTTCAAAGGATGCCCCTCAGGCCTGGGGTCATTGGCCTGTCCCTGTGTCCCTTGTCCCCTGGGACCCTCCTCCTCCCACCTGGTTGGTGCTCACCTGTCCCTTCCCCTCCCCCTGTCCCTGAGCTTAAATTGAGTCAGGACCACGTCTCTTTTATTCTGTTGGAGCTGTTACCAAGATTCAGATGTCTGTGACCACGGAATAAAACTCTGGATTAAACCCTCTGACGGAATCCGCGCCTTTTGTCTTCACCATCGTCTGAAGCCTTTCCACCAGAGGTAAACTGAGTTTCTACAAGCCTGGCGTCTTTCCAGTGCCTAGCTGCTACATCCAGCCAGCCAAAGGTGTCCCCTGAGGTGAAACACCACAGCTGCTGCCTTTGGCCCAGCAGCAAGGGTCAGACGAGCCCAGGCACGTTCTACCTGGTAATATTGGGATCTTATTCCAAAAAAACCTGAAGCAAATCTTGGCTGAAATCAGCAAGATAAAAAACTGAAAACCCCATGTCTCTTACCTAGTTGAACAGCTTCTTCAATAATCTTTGTATTCAGCTCCATGGCTCTGCGATCCGTAACCATGGCAACCCGTTTCTGCAGGGCCTGCAGCATGGCCGCGATGGCCAGGGCCCCCGGGGGGCCGTCGTTCTCCTCGGGGGGCTGGTGGCTGTAGTGCGTGGGGAAGCCCGTGGTCACCAGCACCGAGCCCGCCCGCGACAGGGCCAGGCTGGCCGCCAGCAGCTCCCCCTGCCGCCGCAGGTGCCCGATCCCCCGCTCCCCTGGACGAGAGGGTTGAAAGAGAGCAGTACACTTCAGTGCATCACTCTCCTTTTCAAGTTTCCCTCTAGATGAAAGTACGTGCTTTAGTGACATAAAATGGGTTAAAAAAATAAAAGAGAGAAACCTCTGGTCAAGGCAGGAATTGGGGTAATTTCCTCAGGAAACCTAAGAGATCTAGGATATGAGTAATGAAGATAATGGGCCGTGCTTCCAGGTTAAGAATGGTCAGGTCAGCTTTTGAAAATTATTATACCTAGCTTTTCTAGGTATAAGTGTAAATAGCTTTTTCTGATTGCTTATTGCATATTGTTTCCTTTCCTTAGGCCCTCTGTTTTCCTTTGACAGTCCTGCTAGACCATGTTTAGCTACTGAAGCTGGATTGCAACTCAAGCATCCCAGACCTTACAGAAGTTCTGATGCAGACTTCAGATGTATGAACTGATCCTTTGTCTCTATTTAACTCTGTCCCCTTCGGGAAGAGCTAATTACCAAATAAATTTCACCTAATGAAATTATTAACCTCAGAAGTGAGGTTTCAGAGACATTGTAAGTTTCCTGGGGACTTCATAAACTCAGTTAATGCAGTGGTATCCAGGTGACTACTGGAAGTTCTTGTAACACTTCATGTAGCAGAGAACCACATTATCAGACCTTGAGAAATAGGTGAATATTAACAGGAGTCTCTTCTCATGGGTCAGTCCCTAAATAGGCAATACTGGGTATGGCTTTCACTGCTCAAACACTTCCTATCCCATGTTCCTTCCCTGTCACTTGGAAAAAAGTTCACAGCTCAGTACTTTCGGTTTGCTAGTACTCAAGAAAACCATGAGTACCAGCATGATGGGCTTATTGAGGTAAGCCTTCACTGATGTTTTCCAGTCTCCTCACAGATTCATCCTTCTTGCTCCCCTGACCCCCACATTTTCCTCTTTTTGTCCTCATTTTCCCCTTTGGCATTTCTCCTTCTGTTTCTCCTAAATAACACACAGGCAATACACAGATAATGGACAGAGAAAAAAGTTCAGAAAACTTAAAGTTAACATAAGCAGAATACAAGTCTCTGAGAAGTGGGGTATATTAACTGAGACAAAGTACTGTACTCTCCCTTAGCAATAAAATGAGCTAACTTTTAAGTTAGGAACTGTATTTCTGCAGAGCATGGCATCATGCCAAGCCAGCTCCAGAGAGTGGGAAAGAAGAGGCCTTGTGAGTAAAAATAAACAGACCCAAATGTATGCACACAGCCCAAACCCAGAGCTTGGGAGTACTGGGTGTAAGCTGTTTTCCACTACTGCCCACAGAGGATTTCAGAAAATTTATGGCACACTGAGCTCAGACTTTACAGCAGCCAGAGGGGACAGGCTCAGTGTGTATTTTAGGAATGGCTGCACTACTCAGTGTGCCTTTACTTCCCTCCCTTCCTTGCACACACAGGCAGTCCCACCACTCAAACTTCTGTGGGGACATGGTCACTTTGGTCCATCATACAACACGTCAGTAATGGAGATGTCAGCAGAAATTAATATAATTCTACTGTCAGAGTGGTGTCTGAAAAACACATGCAACTACTGGAATTCTCTGGTAGGACCACAGTAGGCATGAATATATGTAAAGAAATGTGCTATTTACTCCACAGGGAACACCCATGTAGCTGTTACCAGCAAGCTGAGGCACTCTGTACTTCATATAAACTCATTGTATTCCATAAAGAATTCTTAAAATCCTCCTTAGATTCTTACTGTGTTCTTGAATTTAAAATATCTAAAAAGGCCAGATAGGTGGTATCTACCCCATAACAAACTCATTAAAGGGAGACAGGTTTTGTTTATACCTGGATCTACTCCAATTAGGGTCTCCAGAGTATTTATTTTTTGGGCTGCTTCTGCTGACACAATGCTGAAATGCAGAGGATCTCGAGAGATGCAGTGGACCTGTGGGGCTCCTCCTGAGGAGCTGACTGTACCTCTCTCTAGGTCGGTAACGAATGTGCAGTCAGGAGAATTGGTAAAAGCTAACGGAGCTCCTAAAATGAATGAAAAGGCTTCAGTTAAATGTTATTATTGCAATGTAACAAATTATAGGCATGATAAAGTTTCAAAAAGCCACTTAATATAACAACAGAGTCTCTGCCTGATGACACTTACAAAAACAGGTGATATTTTAAGTTACATTGGTGCAATTAATACACTTTGAGAAAGAAATGTACACATGTACATCTGAAAATTTTTTCACTTTTAAAAAGTTCATGTGGGTTGGGATCAGTTTTTTCCACAATGTCCTCTTTGGTCTATGTAGGTGGATAGACCATAAGTAAATAAAGGTAGTATAGCAAGTTATCTTACCCCCTAAAGAGTTGCAGCTGAGCCAATTATTAAGGATTAGGAGCAGGCCTGATTTTAACTGGCCACAGCTGTATCCAATAAGATGAAGAGTGTTATAAAAGAGTGGATTGGTTGACTGAGGGGAGCTGGAGTCAGTTGGCTGCTGTGAGCATGAGGGAGAGGCACTGCCTAGAGGAGCTGCCTGTGAGAAACATCAAGGAGGTACGAAACTCTAGCAATATGGAACCTTTGCAATATAATGACAACAAGTCTAAACTGGAGGCAGCCTAAGAATGGAACTCTGGTACCCTTCCAGAAGGTCTGTTGTGATGGCATTTCTTTTCTCAAGTCATCATGAGCTGTGATGGGGCCCTGGTCTCCTGGAGGTGGCTGAACACTTGCCTGCCCATGGGAAGCAGCAGTGAATTAATTCCCTATTTTGCTCTGTTTGCATGTATGGCTTTTGCTTCCCCTGCAAAATTGTCTTTATCTCAGTGCATGAGTTTTCCAGTTTTTACTCTTCCAGTTCTCCCCCTGATCCCTGTCTGGGGTTACACCATGGCAATTTAAACTGGCAAGGAGCAATGACAAAAGTGGACCAGTAAGCGTTAGCAAAGGAAATATGAGTAACCTCTAAAACCCTGGAGAAAAATAAGCTTCTTTAGACCTGACAGCATAGTAGCTTCCTAAACTGAAAATATTTCCTGTCTTTATACTGTTTCCAAAAGTCTGAATCTAGGTAATACTTGATTTGTCAAAACTGGCATGTTTTTGGGTAAATCATAACTGGTGTACTTAAACAAGAAAAACTTGCTTGGTTAGGAGGGTGAAAGTGGAGATGTTTCTTTACTAAGTACATATGTGCTTGGTTGGAGCTACATCTGATGGGACTCTATGGCCAGCAGCTTAAAGCACCTGGGGAACATGGTTGTTGAGGTTTACTATAGCTCACCAAACAATGTGAGCAGAGGTTTTTTGTGACCAGCTAGCAGATTCATCTAAAGTATGGGTACTGGTGGTGTGGCAGATTTTAAATGTCCTAGCTGAGAAAGTAGCACAGCAAAATAAAATCTATCCAAAAATCTCCTGCAGTGTACTAATGACAACTGTTTTTAATATAGAAAATGGAGAAATAAATGAAAGTGAAAAGTCTGTTCCAGGCAAGGGCAGGATAGACAGCCACATGTGCAACAGATAGGAGAGACATTGGCAAATTTTTTCTCTTTTCCCTACCACAAAGATGCATAAGGAAGATGAATAGGATTGCTGAAGAAGCCAGGAAAGAATAGGATTTTCAGCATGGATTTAGGACTGGAGAAAAAAGATTGTATGTAAGAAAGAGCAAGAAGACTCTTCTTAGAGCTGAACATATTAGAGCAGATGTTGGGAGAAGTTCAGATAAACATCTGTAAGAAACCAGATCTGAAAGGATTCTGCAGGGAGAGAAGGACAAAGCAGATAACCTCCCAGGGTTCTCCCACATATACTGCCTATGATTTTTTGGCTTCTTTATGGTATTTCATTTCACATAGTGACTAAGAGAAGTATATAATACCGTTTTACTATGATTTTGTTGCATTTTTTTGCCCTTGGTGCTCATACATGCATGAATGGCTGCACACAGTGTAGAAAAACTGTAGAGAAAAAAAAGTTTCACTTATGTAAAATGTGTCACATTTACTTAATTTTGGAGAAAACTAAAAGCTCAACATTTTCCATGAGACACTTCAGAACCCTTTTCCATGTCAATCAATTTGCTAGCTCTTGACAACATTTTGGAAAAATTTCTGGCTTCTCTCTTTTTATTCCTTCTTTTTATTTTTTCTTTTTCCTTTACTATTGCTTTACTTCAATGTAGTACAAAATAATATTTTAAAAGGAAGAAGCTTAAAATTTAATGCCTTTAAACTTCTTGGTTTTTATAATGCTAAAAAAGCTGCTTTGATGTTGCCAGAGCTGTAGATTTAAACATTTAAAATATACAAAAGTGGTGAAATTTCAGTAAGAATTTTCTTTAAAGTAGACCTGTATTTCACAACAAAAACTCTCCTGCCAAAGGCTTTTTGCTGTTTGGGGTGTTTTTTATCTTCCCCTAAAATCAAGCCTTCTAATCAGCCAATTGAGAATCCTTTTAAAAAAAGGAAAATAAAGCAGAGAGAGAAAAGAGATTGAGGGATAATTTAAAGAGAGTCTCCAAGCAGCACATACGGCTGTTGATAATTGCTTCTACTCCTGTTACTCCTGAGGCCCAAAACACTGGAATGTCACCAGGGTGAAGGTGAACTGGATCGCCATAGTCTGGTTTAGAAAGATCTTGTATTCCCAGCAGACCTGGAATTGATCAAAAATGAAATCAGGAGCGATTTTAATTAAGCAGTAATACTGCAAAGCTGGGGGGTGGACCCCAAACATCATTCAATGATACTGAGCTCAGAGTTCAAGAGTGTCAAGTCCCCCTAAAGTGGAGCATTTAGTTTGCCTTTGAGTGCACATCCTCAGAGCCTGAGCTGACTTGATTCCCCCCTTTCTGTACTTGATAACACCAGTAAGAATGTATTTACCTTATTTCTGCAACAAAATGCAGTTTAGGCATCTATGCTGAGTTTCCAAGATAATATAAATCTTCTGGATCAACAGAAGAACTCTATTCATAGCACTGGCAAACAAGGATAAATGATTGCAATGCAAAATAAGTTCTTTCTAGAACACATTTTCTACTGTGTTAGCTTCCTACATTCTTTTGCTAGAGAAATGATCGATCTCTCTTTTCCTCTCTGTCTTAGATAAATACATCTCACTTTTAGCTGCCTTTCATTAAATTGTCTTTTGCTTTATTCTAACACCTACTTGTAATAATCTGGGTCATTCTAAACACTTGCTATCTTCCCTTGGTTTTAAGTTCTTCAGATGCTTTAATATACCACTCTCTTTTCTGAAATTAGTTTATATAATCTGTATATATGTCAATTTACTCTTTTGCAATGATTTATTACTAGTTTGTCAGGCTTAAGTACTCAGATATGTTACTCAAGTACATTACTGGAGTGTTGTGTTAAGCAATGCCATCTCCTTCCATGGCCTGCAATGTGACTCTTCTGTGTATGTAGCCAATGATTACCAAACTTCTGACAGCAGGGGGGAAACTATTGCAATCTATCTTCATATTACAGGTGTTTGTTTGGTTTTGCTCTTTTTCAAACAGCCTCCTCTCTTAACTTTTTCATTTCTGTTCAAACTAGGTTTAAAAAAACATCTTGTCATATTTCTATTCATTTTGTCTTAAGTGTTTTGCTCATTATATGCTATTTCAGTATTTTTTAAAATAATGCAGTATTTACTTTCACATTCAACCAGTAAGACACAAGATGCCTCCACACATACTTCTCCCCATGCTGTCAGTCATTGCTATCCTGTCACTGGAATCTCTGACAGCAAGAAAGTATTCACATATAAATGAAACTGCACACATTTCAGAAGAATGTGATTATACTTCTTACCAAAACCACCCCTGCCAGATAACTTATCTGCATCTGACAACTATCTTTTATCTAAGAAATCTGTGTGTTCAGCTCACTCAAAACCTTCTTTTTTTTTCTTTCTTCCTTTTTCCTTTTATATTCAGGTTTGTGACCATTAGAAAGAATTAAGAGATTAAGTGATGCAGGTATTTCAGTCCTACCCCTTCCCATGCTTTCCCCCTCACTTGTGTAAAGTCAGGTGTGTGCAGAATGAGAAGTGAAAAGCACTGACCGGGGTCACCTATGTGAATTGGTGCTCCATGGGCTTCTATTAATCCAGATGTTGCTGACACAGCTGCTCCCAACTTGCTTTCAGGAATGGGTCTCATTGTGACTACTAAGTTGCAGTGAAACATAGAAATGCTGTTGCAAGGCACAGATGTCTGGCAGTTCAAAAGAATCCAGTGTTAGCAGTAATATTGAACAATGTTTCTAAAATGTCAGAATAAATAAAACTAAATCTTTGTGCTGCACTTGAGTTTAGAAAGGCTGCATGCTAACACTCATTTTAAATCCTTTTGAAAAAAAATTCTTGGGATAATGCATTTTTTTCCTCTAAGGTTCCATCATGTAGCTGCATCATATACATCACTAAAATTTTCAACTTAATGCATTCCTTGTTTTGGTGCACACAACAAGATGAGCTCAGTATGTTGAATATTAGCTGAGAACAATGGTGTATCCCCCCTACAGAAGGTGAAAAAGCGAATAGAAAATTATGGCACATTTGCAAATCTACTTAGTCTGACTCTACCCTCTGTAGTTGAATACAGAGCCCAGTAATGTGGCAGGGTCAGCAGCTGCTGATGGCAGTAGCCTCTTGTACAGAAGCTGCATGACAGTTCCATACATACAAATAGTTCATGCCCCTACAAAGGTTCTATGGAATTCATCATCCTCACCAACTGGGAGGCTGAGCTTTTTCTATTTAGAAAGAAAGCAGGTCAGCTTTTTAGGAAAAAATGTCAAATTTCTGAGTTGTAGTTGAACATAAACAAGACATCCAGAGAGCTGGAGCTGTCAAGAAAATGTTCATTTAAAGCCTTTATAATGATAATAATAATCACACCTGTCACTTAAGAAACACACTGCAGTTCTTCACAGCATTAATGTGCTATAAACTGTAAAATTTTCCTAATTCTGAAATTCTAGAAGCAGATACATAGTTGTATTTTTTTTTCTTTACACTTGGTAGAAGGAGTCACGTATGAGAGATGCTTGCACCTTTGTTTGAGTGGAGTGTAGCATAGATTGTGTAATGATAACACTGAAAATAACAATAACCTTTCTCCAGCAGCACAGCAGCTGAACTAAATGAAAAAGGCATGCAGATGCATACTTCAATGTTCTTAGTATCAAAGGGTTTATTTACTGGAGACAATTATTCTAAGACTTCTGTTACCATTGAAATGTACACCACAAACTTTTTGAGCTCAGTAATAATTTTCAGTGCTATGGTAAACACCTCAAGTCTTTGGGAACATCTTGAGGCCCAGAGGCCTGGGTTTGTAGTAAATGTGCTGTTTAGAGGCTCTACTGTCACAGGAAAAATCCAGAATGTGGCTGTCAGGCAGAAGAAACCACTATTGTCATAGTTTTAAAAGGAATAGGTTTATAAAAGGAATACTCCAGCTGCAAACAGGGGCTGGTATGGAGAGCAGGACACATGTAAAGACATGGTCAGCACAGTGCATGGATCACTGGGTAAAACAGAGGGGGCAAACCAGAACAGAATCCACATGAAATGGCTGCCACAGGAAACAGGGAAAGCTTTGTCACGAAAAATGAATACAAAAGGAGATTGGCCTTACACTGAACTGAGGCTGGGAATGTTTTACCCTGTATTTTCAGCACTAGCACATGCCCTTAAGTTACTGTGTAGGTAGAGAAAAAAAGTTCTGATTTGAACAATAGGTATATGCACCTAATCTGACTATAGGTGAAACTCACAGGCGAAATTACAACAAAGATTGTGCATATACTTACTTTGTACATGCTTGCATTACATTTTTGCTCAATGTTTCTGATAGGAATGCCAGCTTTTTGGATTGCTTTTTCAGAAGAGAAGCTGCAGCCTAAATAAAAAGTCACCATGTCCTTGAGTTGTTCAGAATACTCCTTAAGGCTTTTCAGTGATCCAGTACAAGCTCCATGCTCATATTTTCTGTACTGTAGGCAATCAGTTCTAGTGAAATAAAAAGTTATCACACCTTTGTCACGTTTTTTAAGAACAAGGTGAATTGGTTGAATTGACATAAACCCAGTGTGAAACCACACAATACAGCCTGCTTTATCCATTTTGTTCTTTCTGACTAATAACGAAACAAACACAGGCAAAACCCCCAGAACATCTTATTCTGCACAAAACCAAGCTGACAGACAGAATGTTACAGTTTGAGATTTTTTAGGTTTTATAGGTAAAGGTCCCTTATGCATATCTTGTCTCAGGCTTTCAAAAATTAGGGAGCTGGTTTGAACCTTGTTTTTAGTGTTTACCATAGGAGTACATATTTCAAGTTTCAAAGACTCTGCTAGTATCATGCAGGCACCATGACCATGTTTGTAGTAAATAAAACAAATATAAAACCCTATTATTGAATTCCGCAGGGTCAGACTGCAAAATATTCAAAAATTACACAAAATTTCACCTTTGGATTAGAAAAATTACTTTTAATACTGACAATTATCATAACATGTGGCTCAAGAACAAGATAATCAGCCTGTTATACATGGTTTTCACTCAAAGGTATAACTCCAAGAAAAGAACGTTGTTCAAAATATTCAACAGTGTAACCAGGCTGTTTCCTCAAATTCTCCTAATCACCACCAGCATTCACTTCAGAATATTGGCCAGCAGAGTTGGTCTGTAGTTACCTGATATCAGAATCACTTCTCAGGGAAGGACATTTCCAGTCACCTGGTTGACTTCTGTGCAGCAGTGGCAGGGGTCCATCGTTTGCACGGCAGAACTTCTCAAAGTCATCAGCCAGGGACTTGTGCAAAATCACAATATTGGCCTGTTTGTAGCCTTAAATGGTAGAAGGTAGGAATAGCTGGTTATTAATTCAGCTCTTTTGTTTGTGAAACAATAACTTTTCTGTTAAATTTCTTTAGATGGTTTATGAATTACCTAAAGGAAATTTTTGATTCAGAACTTTGTAATTAGATCAAATTTCTTGAAATGCTTTAAAAATCATAGCTAGGCCTACTCTCTATGAGAAGTCATTCACAGCTAAAACAGTTGGCAAACATGGGTAGTAGCAGAATATGAAGACACCATAATTAAGAAACATTTCTATTCATTTATGTATAAACATAATTTCCTTTCTAACTGGGGACATTAGAATTTAGGAATATGCTCTATTTGCAAATGCTAACTCAGAGCCAAAGAAAGGCTATCACACACCACACTTTCACAATTATTTTTCACCACACCAAGATCTAAATCAATCCAAAAGTAAACTCCTGGTATCTTGATATTCATAGCACATTCTTTAAAATTTCTTGGCTAGGGAATTTTAATGTGGGCTGCAATTAAACAGATATGATTACAGCTCAGGAATAAACTCTTGGACTATCTGTCCACTGATTTGCAGTAATTTCTAATTAAAGTTCTGATTTAACTTCTTATTAAAAAAAAAAAAAAACAAACTAAAACAGAACTGCTACACTTTCTTCACTTGGAAACAACTTTGATTTAAAAGGTTCTTGATTACTACTATGAAATAACTTCTAAAGACATTAACATTTTTGCAATGAGTACCACCGAAGAAAGGTCCCATTGAGCAAAAATTTATTTTCTTAACAGTAGTAGTTAATACCAATGCCATTTAAACTCTCCTGCATGGAAATATCAACTGTTCAAATAATGGGGGGAAATCTGGAGTACAACTGGTCCAGGGTGTATAAACCCAGCAATTAACAATCCCTAAATTCTGTACCCATTCTCTCTTGAAGAGTTATTACTGTCTGATAGCAGGCAGGTGAGTAGGAGGCTGCACAGAAGCACTCACTTTCTTAAGTACTGCAGTAGTCTGTCATCAAAGAGGCAATAATTTAGTTTAAATCAATGAGCTGCCTTCAAAGGCTGTAGAAAATGAGCCAAATCTTACTCTTGACTAAAGCTAGCCAAGACATCCAAAGAGCATTCTATTCCTGATGGAAAAATGCAAAGCAAAGGCTGAGGTAAGCATGCATTTGCATACTGGATTTGTCCACAAACTGATCTCTTGGGAGTAGTTAGCACAAAAATCCATTTTATTACTAGCAAAAGTTACTAAACACAGAACAAGATTCTTGCTAAATACAGAAAAATATTTTTGCTATATAAATATACTACATTAACCACTGAATAAAACATTAAGTTTGATTACCCCTCAGTTTCATTCCCTGCCATCCATGAGCAATCCACAGGCACTTTCTGCTTTGCTGGTTATATTAATGAGTTCTTAAAATTATGGGTTTAGTCAGGGTACTCAACTGACAACACTGAATTTAACACCCTAGTTACAGATGAGAGGCTGAATCTTCAGGCAAATACTGGATGAGCTCAGGCAGCTTCATTATAATACTCTGAGAACTTTATTGCTTCTCCTGACAGCTATCCTTACTTTTTGTACACAACTCGTATCTCCTGATGGATTCACTTGCATTATGGAGCCACCATTATGAATGTATTCACAAGCAATGGCAGTGGAGCTGGATGTGTACCAACCCAGGCAGTAATTCAACACACTCATGTCCAAGTTCAGAGAAGCTTAGAAAGATCTTTTAACTTCTATGGTGAATGACAATTAGGGCAGTAAGAAAGAATTGGATAACAACAACATAAGACAATTTGTTACAAAGGTTCTTTTTGTATAATGAAACTGGTTGTTCATCAACTTGTTTTATATGTCAACAAAACTTCTAAAAATGTTAGAACTAATACATTTAAAACTATTGCAGCAATAAATTCACTTTTAAAATTTTGGTCGGGGCAAACTGCAAATTATAAACATTATAAAATGTCTTCCATTAATTTTTTTCAAATTAGGAACTGATAGAAAAGAAAAACACAATCTCAAGACTCACTACAGTTCTAAAATATGACCTTTAACATATTTTATAGTACTGCTACTATTGTACACACAGCTTTGTTGATCAGCTATTTGCCATGGTATTTTTGTTTATGTTATTTTTTAAAGTTGATCAGAACAATGGCAAACTTCTCTGCTTTTGTAAAAGCCTAGCTATAAAAGGCAAGACAGAAATCAATTTTCTAAAATTCATTCAGTTATCTCAGTATAAAACTAATTTTTCCCTCCTCCTTATAACTCCCAGCCTTGCTGACTAGTAATCTTCACCTTCTGCAAAAAATGAAGCAGAAAACCACTCCTGTAACAGTATGTCTTTAATTCTTCCCCAAAGCATATCTAATGTGCTAAGTAAAGTAAGGTCTCTGTGAAGAACGTCTTACAAATGTGATGATAACATGCAAGAAAACCCAGATTTGGTTAAAGATTTTTCAAATATTTTCTACATCCATCATTTCTCAATGACAATTGGAAGCTGAGGGATGCACTGCAGACATTGAAAACAAAGTCCATGTACATTATTCAGGTAGGATAGTGCATTTCCTCTGATATATCTTTATGATTTAAAAAACAGTCAGGTGTTTACAGTATGATTTCAAAAACACCCAAGAATATAACATTTTCTTCTGTTTTACTTTGGTGCTTTTGATATTTCTTCAATCCTTTACAAACAAAAACAACGTAGTTATGAATCTGAAATAGACTCACTTTGCACAGAGAGCTGTTAGGTTTACTTACCTTCTGCCATTCCAGAAGTATTACTAATACTGAGTCCGTTGCATCTAATTGTTCTTCTTAGCACATGGGGAAGGAGAGATTTCAACCCTCCTGTCAAAAGCATATTTTCCTCCTTAACAGAAAGATAATAATAAATTTTAACACAAAGCACCTTCCCCCTCCCCATAAATTCTGATTTTCTGGAGAACTTCGCTTACATTTCCTCCTTGTACTCCACCAAAGTTATTATCACTGGGAAATTCTAAGTTGTAGCTCAAAATCAAAAGGTTATTTTACTGACATTCTATGACTATATGCAAACTGAATCTTTCAATAAATTAGCTGGAGACATGCATTTTAATATTTGGGATAAAACACAAAATTTTGCTGCCCTATAATGTGAAAAACATTTATTTTCTCCCTGATAAATATTAATTTTCTAGAGTATGCAGTTTTCCAAAAGTCATTGTAAATTTAAAATTGCAAAAGCACAAGTGGATTAACCTACCAGGGTATAATCTATAATATTACTTCTCTGACCAAAATACTTCTAGGCAATTAGCAAGGCAGCCTTGTGGTAAAGAGAGAACTATATTCAGGAAGTGTCACTGTAATTCATTTCACATGAACTATGGTTTTCAAATATTAATTATGCAGAAGTGAATACTCCTGTGGCTATTCTTCCACTCAGAAAGCACACAGTGGAAGAATAGCCACAGATGTTCAAGTCACTTGTCACACAATCTGGAGTAGGTACAGAAAAAAGTTTCCTAATTACAATCAATATCTGCCTCTTTTTACTTCTTTTGAAGATTTAAAATGTCATTTTTCTGTAATCCAGACAAAATTCACACAAAGCTTTTTTCTTGACCTGAACTACTAACAACTAAAAAGGACTTATTACAACACTATTAGGAAAAAGAGTTAGGTCTGACTAAAATAATAACTGGCTGTATGTGATATTAATCTTGATTACTTTCAGGTAAAGAAACTGAACTATCCTCCAGTTAATTCAATTACCAACCTCCAAGTTTTTCTTTAAATCAGAACAAGCCATTCTTGATGTCATTCAAAACCAGTGATAAATATGAGAGAAGCTGTGCTGCTCTTTTTAAAAGTTGTTGCTAAATTAATATATAATGAGATGTACACCCTTCTAGCAAAAGTTAATTTTTCTTTTAAAGGTCCAGTTTTTTGTTCTGTAACTATGGTAATACAAAGTTTCACTCTCACAATTGGAGAGTGGAGTGGAATAGTGTGAAAATTTATACCTCTGAGCAATCATTTTGTAATTAACTTGAAGAGCAGTGATAAGTTTTGACTGAAATGATACTTTTATCCTAGTCTGTCCAAAATGTTTCCCAGAGTTTGCAGAGCTCTGAAAGGTTAAGAGTGGTGCACTGAAATTTAAAGTAAACTTTGTCTCTGTTCTTAATTCTGAAATCTTTATATAACATTGTCAGCCAAATGAAAAGTCTTTTTCTGAACTCCAACTTACTACTTTCTAGATCTTCTTTGCTGCTTTTACATTATCACTCTGTATGCTGTACAAAAATAGTCCTCTTTACAAAATCATGAACAATTCCAAACACACACTTTAAAGATGACAAGAAGTTGGATATAGAGATGTCGCTGAGCACTAATTCAGGCCTATAAGTATCAAGATACCCTATTCTTACTCTGGAGAGAATTTCTAACACCAATCTGGAATGATTAATTCAAGACATTTCAAACTAAATACAATGATCCTAGTAAAATATTCCAGATGTGTTCATTCAATTCTTTCAGATAATTCTTTATTTCTGAGGATCTTTAAAACCATCTAAATAATCTGTAGGATTGGTGGCCTGCTACTGATGAACTACTAGTTTAGTTGGACTTGAAAGACAGTCTGAAGTCCAGAAAATTAGTCTAGAACAAAAGCTGTCTTTAGCTAAGTATTTTGTCACAAATGCCCTGTTCTGATGTTGGGAAAGCCCTCTCATAAAGTGTGGGCCCAGCAGCAGAAATGAAAGTACCTAGGAGATTTTATCAGCAAATATTTAGGTCTCTAAAAGTTTTTGGTTCATTTGACAGCAAGTGGCTAACAAGCTACAGGACTATGAATATCAGTAATGCTGAAATGCCAGCTGCAGATATCATACAGAAGCACCTGGGCCTGTTGCTCCTACTTGTGAATAAACATATACTATTGATGATGACTGGTTAGAAAGTGAGTAATTTAAACACTAACTTTGTATAAGCACAGTGAGACAAGAGTCACCTTCCTGGGGCAGTTTTATATAGTAACAGGAAAAATTCAATTTGATTAATGTTCTGAGTTTTAACTTCAGATCACTGCATTTGCAATACAATATCTGTAATAGATTGTGCTGTGATTTTGTTTATTAATTACTAAATTAATATTGGATAGACAATAAAACCAGTGAGATGGTCACAGTAAAAACCAGCTTTTGCTATGTGACTTTCCCACAAATAGTGGGAAATGCAGTATGCTATTTCTCTAAGCTAGGAGGCATAGTCAGGTTTAAATTCCCCAACCATCTCTAGAACTTCCTGAAAAATCCTTGGAGCTATCATGACCATGGCATGTTTGGAATGTCTGGATAAAAGTATGGACGTTATTAGGATCTTAAAGCATCTTTTCCATTTTTTTCTGTCAGGATGCCTAATAAAATGCACAGACTGACTTCATAGGGGCTTCATGTGCCACTCTAAGTAAACAGTGTGAAACAGTGGTTAATCAGTTAGCAGGATCTGTGCCTTGGCAGAGGTTTCTTAATTCCTTTACTTTGTTCTGAGATAGTTTCAGATAATGATAGTATCAGTTACCTCATGGGGGTATGTTGGATCATGACACAAGACAACATGCAGGATGTTAAAAAGGCCTTAAGAGAAGAGGCTGACAGAGCTTACAAGATGGCTGTTGTGCCTGAAGGTATCCTATGTGGTGTCCCCCCAAAGGCCTCCTAAGATCTGGCTTTCCAGTGTGTTCTCTTTAATGGAATGAACATTTAAAGCAGACCAGATAGAATCCTGTGTAAACAGTGTTTGAAAATCAAGTCATTGACTGGCTGCATAATGACAAATTTCATACTTAAAGCACCCAGTCTGAAAAAAGACCTTGTTCTAAGTCATGCTGCTGACATCAGACTTCCTGACTTTCAACACCAACAATCAATATAGTAAAGCTTCACAGCACTGAAGCATCAAGTTTGTTCTTGAGGAGCATTTTCTTAAATATCTGCTTCCACATTAGAAGCACAATAAACACTATTCTTTTTAGAGTTTTCATGAAGGTTCAATATATTTAGTGTGTAGCTTGAGTTTTACATACTGAATTAAATGGCTGAGGATTAAAATACATTGCTGTCTGAGACATTAAGATGGCACTTACCCACTACTGATTTGTGGGCACTACCATATCCTGAGCTGCACTTCCAGATCTTGACAAGGATGATGAAACTTCAAAGCTGGAAAAAGATGAAAATTATGTAGAGAGCTGTGTGATCAGGCAGTGAGGACAGTTTAGTTTATGCCAGATCAGTAGTTCAGAATAATGAATCAATTTGTAAGGAACAATATTGTATTGAAATGACATTATATTATAAATCTTTATAATATAAAGATTCAAGAAAATAAGAAAATAGAAATATTCAAGAAAAAAACCTCTCTTTGTATCATAGTGGCAGTCGGGAAGTACAGTTTGGTAAAAGGTCCAAACAGATCTTGGGTCTGGCTTTAATAAGTAACATAAAATTGTTAGTTGACATCTTCATTCAGTAAATACTTGTGCAGTGGTACTTAATACCACTTCAATGGAATTAAGCAGTTACCACTATCTGATTAATTTGGCCCAGATGATTTTCAAAATATCTCATTACCAAGGCAATAACAATTTCCAAGAAAGACATATTTGGAGGGTGAATATTTTTGCATTAGAAATTGTGCTCCCTGGTTGCCATATGAAGCTCTAAGTCATTAACCTCTAAGTCATTTCTACATGCTGTTCTCAGAGCACTAGTTGAATACAGGTGACTGCAATGCTGTGCTGATCTTTGCTGAGATGACTGGAATGGGACTGGTTCCAAGCCTCATATGTGTAACTGATTGTAAAGAATATGCTCTACTTGCCCAAAAATCCACAGCTTATGCCAGGAAAAAAGCATGTTGAGAGGAAGACATGAAGCAACAAAAATGTAGTTCCAGAAAAGGTTTTAAAAAAGAGATTGCCCTGCATTTTAGATTACTTGCATGATGGACAGAGTAGCCTCTTCGCATCTTCCAGGCTATTCCTCATTTTTTTCCTCTTTTTGTACAGTGTGCTTTTACCTCTGCATCTTTTCCTCCCTGAGCTCACACCCCTATCTCCATAACTCCAAGCTGGGCTGACCTTTGTAGCACTTGCTTCCTTGGTTTGTCTGACTGCATGCTCTGGCAATATGGGAATTTTAATGCCTTCTCTCCTCTCACTGGCTCTTTTTAATTCATATAGTTGATGTATCTCTCAGTTTTACCTTAACATCTCAATTTTTAATCTTAAATGAGCTTTTTCTGTTCCTAGTATGAGACAAAATAGTCTAACATCAGAACTCATAATACACATAAATAAATAAATTCACAAATGTCTTCCCAGACTTAGATTTAAGATTTAGACTCCTCTGACCCCACCTGTACTCGTAGGTGAATATACATCTATATCTATATATCCCTTTTAATATTACAGACAGGCTTGGCTTAAGCATAGTTTTTCTATTTAGTTCTTAATTTTTCTATTCTTAATTTCTGACAGTGGAACCACCAACTGCCTTACAAAGTTATATCTCTTACAAGCTACAGTTTATTAAGTGTTTTTGCAATCTGCAGAACAAAAGCTCTTTACGGAAAAAGAAGGAAGGCCAGTATGTGAAACATTTTCTATTATCTTAGAGCTTTCAAAATGAAAAAGTGAATCTGTAAATTTTGCAGATATTTAAATATGAACATAGATTCTTTACAGGCCCACATTCTAAATTATTCATCATCCAAGAAAATGGAGAAATGTCATTTAAGTGTCAGAGAGATTACACTTTGAAATGCAGTGGGTGGGTCCATGCTGCTGTGCTAAACTACACCAGATAAAAACGAATCAAGAAATTATGTAATAACACAAAGGATTAAAACATTCTTCAGAAGTGTCAGTGTGACTACTTTGCCTTCACACATATCAAGTGAAATAATGAAATAGAAGTAAAACAATAGCATTTCTGGGGTTTTAAAATGGAAGACATGACAACACACAGCCTGTAAAAAGTATGGGTGGTAAGGGTAATAAACAGGTTTGAACACTGCAAAGCAGTTAACACCAATTTCTGGTGTTATGAATTACAGGTCTGTTTCTCCAGTGGCACTGACAGACTAGTAAGAATACGGTTTGATGCAGCATAATCTAGAGACTTGCTTGCAAGGAGCCCAAAGACTCTTACGAAATATAACCTTGCATCGCTCATATCACTTTTGTCCTATTTTCAGTTTAAAGTTTGATAATAAGAACGGGTGGTGGCATGTACGGGATCATGGGCCAAAAAAGTGCAAGGGTCAGTACTTAAAACTGCTGGGCAGGGTTTTTAGATATTGTCACGCAGATACCTCACCCAGAGCTACTACAGCAGAGTAACCTGAAACATGAGCCAGGCCATGGGCTGCCTTTTCCAATACATAATGGAAAGTAATCTAAACTAATTATAATCTAACAAACACTTTGTGTACTTTGCCTTGCCCTAGTATGAACATGGTTACAGAGGATTGTTAACGTAAACACACTTTAAATGACCTGCTGTTTAATCATCAAGCTGATTTGAAATTCTGCCAGCAGACTTCTGTGAAAAGCACAAGCTTCTCTGAAAATTTAGTTCATTTGATTTTCCAACAGGATCTTTCAGTTACACTTGTGATCTTTTATTTGAAGAATCAATTAATGAACCTTTTTCTCCTCATCTGCTATGAATCATTTCAAAGCAGAGAAGATCTTTGTGTATCATTCCAAAAGGGGAGTGTGTAGTGTATTTTCAGACAGTAGTTCATCCAGCAAATTATTATTTAACTTTACATTTGAAATATAGGGTATTTGTGTTTGAAGTTTATGCACCTCTAAATGAGGGCTGCAAATCGAAATTTAAATTAGCTTCCATTAGTGTTCTGTCTGCTGCTTAAAGCAGCCAGCCTATATTTGAGAGCCTGCAGATTATGCCAGGACAAGAAATTGATAGGATCAATATGTCTTTGATGCAATCTTGTTTATTTGCAAAAAAGGTACACAACATCTCGTTTCTCTCAGTGTGTTAAGAACAAATAACAGAAAGCAATTACCAGTTTCAAAGCAGCCATTTCAGATAGCACCGTATGCTGCTGCAGCCACTGTGTTGGTATAACTTTACACTCAGCTTCTGCTCTGGAACAAACCAAATTGTTTCTCAGGTGGAGAAATATGGACAGAGGCTAGAGAATAGTTCACGTTGGGCCCTGCCCTTGCATGGGCACAACCTATGCAAGATCCCAGTTGTTTAGGCTTTTTTATCCTGCAAAGGATGAGCCCTCATGACTTCACACACCCTTCCAACCCCTTGAGTCATACCCTAATACCCACTTGCCTGCCTCATCACCTTACAAATACATACAACCAACAAGTTTTAGAACAGCCACCTCACTTACGTGCACCTTTGGCAAGATGCAGCATACACCTAAGAGGAGACTAAGAAATCCATCATGATTTAAAACTGCTACATTCATGCCTTGGACTTTGCTGGCAGGAATACTCACCGGTAGCAAGAGGAGGCTGCAAATGATCCACCGAAGGTTGTTATCATATAAGATGACAAGAGTCGCTTATTCAACTTCAAGAAATTAAAAAAAAAATAAGGGCATGAGGATCGTATTTAAATACTGTTTCTCAATCTATGCTGAGCTACAGATTTTAAGAGTTGCTCCACAATTTTTTGGGCTGGGTCCAGATACTATTTCTCTGTCTTGGCCTCTTCTGGCACCAAGACAGCGCAGGAATGCAGGAGGACCTTGCTGCAGACCATCAGTGCCAGCCTCTCCCAAGCCCCTGTGGCAGCACATTGGCTGGACAAAAACTCCTAAAGCAAGGGATTTTTTTTCTTTCCAGTCTTACCCAGAAGGAGAGAAAATGGAGTCCATAGGACAAAGTACAATTACTTGTACTGCTTTGTTGGCAAGGCAGCAGCCACAGGTTCTTGTTTTGATAAGAACATATATCACCACCTAGGTTACACCCAGTCACATCATGCGTGGTCACAGGGCTGATGGGGTGCTCATTCCTACCAAGGAATTCCATCTGAAGGTAAGCAGGTAAGTGTGTTCTGCTACCTACACATCATAAAAATAGAACCATGATCCCCAAAATCATGCCATGTTCTTGCTCTCAGGTCTTTCAGGCTACCTCCAGGATTATGCCATTCCTTTTTTGTTCACATCTGCCAGCCTCACTGCACCCACCACTGCTCACCAAGCAATTCTCCTCAGCAATGGTCACTAAAATTATTCCAGCCCATGTGTTTACACAAAGTTAGTGTCCTTGAGATGTGGGTGTCTCAGCAGGCTGTGTGTGGGAAACTTCCAGTGAATTTTACCTCTCCAAACTACCAAGAACAAATATCTCCATCTCCACACATACCTGTGATGAAGAGATATTAACTTTCTTTGTTCCACTGCTTCCTTCTACTCCTAGACCAAGAAGTATTGGGAATAGCTCAAAAGAACAGAGCATAATTTCCCTGACAAACCTCCAGGCTTAAGTAGTGCTATATGGATGATCAGATGAATCTGTGGCAGGATCTCCAAGAATACCTCACTGCAACTTTCATGAGTATGTACAGGTAAATTGCTGTTAACAACTGTACTATGTGATAGCAAATGGTCTGCATTTGGACTGCTATTTTGTCTTGGAGCATCCACACTGCCCCCCCTGTAATAAATGTTAATTTGCATCAAGGATACCTGGACAGCTCTGTTCTGCAGCATCCATTCTAACTTGAAGGATTCCAAGTTATGGACGAATTATGGCTGCATTACTATGCTTTCATTAATGCATACCTGACAACTGTGGTATTATATGGTGACTACAGTTGTCATGATGATCTGGAAACTGCCCTCAGTGGTCTGTTTGGTGCAGCCAAGCACCTGCAGAAACATTTGTACTCCATCTGCAAGAGATCGGGGTGTGTTTGACCAACACTTAGTACAGCAGGACAATGAGGAGTAGCTACGAGCAGTGCTATCAGTAATTAGACATATACTCTAAGTTTGACAATAGCACAGTCCTTTTGGAGAAGAGAGTGCTGCTTTGTCACTAGTGAAGATGCCCAAGCTCTAAAAACCACGGATGTTACATACTTATTTGGTAGACTGCATCACAGAATCCATAAATAATCACCGATAATTGTCAACATCCCTAAACTTGTGAACAAAGACATGTAGAACGAGTGAGTTATAATCCTGAACAGTCAAAGCTCCTTGTGGTGGGCTCGAATGAAGATCTTGACATCATTGCTAACTCTTCCCCTGTCTATAGAGAGAAAGTATGAAACTTTACAGCATGTGAACCTTTGAAGACCTCAGCTGCGCAGTAATGTGACTGATGGAAGACCTGGATGATGTGGCAGTTCAACCAAGCTACACTGACCTGATTGTCCAGTCATCCACAGCCACCAGGAATGAATTAATTTCACAGGCAAGTGGCAACCATGATGACCATGAGAAGAGACCTCCTGCAAGTGGTGTGTTGGTGCTGCAGAGCGTCAACAGTTCCCCATACCATTTCTGAACTCAAACCAGTCATTCAAGACCAGCACATGATGTAATTACACTGGGCAACTGTCCTCATCCACCACAGCAACCCTTGGCAAAGCAGAGAATGTTGCACCATAGCTAGAGGCTGCCATAGTGCCTATGCATAGGAGAAAGGTGGGCTTGAACTCAAGCATTGTGTTCTGAAAAGAAAATTCCCAATTACCTTACTTTTAAGGGCCTGAAAGGACACATGCCCTTATTGAACTGTCCTGGGAAGCCTGATCCCACAGCATGTGGGTGTTCCTGATGCAGTCACTCTGTCCTGGCACCCTTGAGGCACCACCACTGGCGGCAGCAGCACCATGGCTGTGCAGCAAGTGCAAGGGAGTGTGACAGCTACAGTGACAAATGCAGCAAGGGAGCAGCTCAGGAGCTCTGCTCTGCTGTTGGTCCCAGCACAGGCCACGTGAAGAACTTCACATCTGAGTTCCTGCTGACAGATTAGATCAGGTATCAGTTGACTAAACGCTCTCACTCTGTAGCTATTCAGTGCCTTACACAATTATGTACAATACACCACTGTGTCCAGTGCAGTTACAGCAGGCAGACTGAACATCTCAAACCACTGTGTTCATGAGCAGTATCAGCTAAGAGCTTAAGATGCTGAAAAATGAAGCTACATTTCTAGCTCATAATCCTGAACTTTTACTGCTTTTCCCTATGTTCCATGAATAGAGTAAGATCTGTGTCACCCTCAAACCTTTTCTCACCATTAATTTTTTTTTAAAAAAAGCAGTTTGGTGTTAAAAGAGATGACTCATAATGCTGCAGCATCAGTTAGCTGGCTTGAAAGGGATGCTGATGACATAATTTTGATTTTCCTTACCAAAGAATATGAAGGTAAGGGCTGAAAATGTTATACACTTCTATCACCTCAATTTATATTTTAAAGATATAAATAAGCTATAGTGATTGGTATCTTGGTGTGCTCTAATTCAAAAATTGAGCCTATATTTTGTATAGAAGCAGCACAAAAGTTTAAGCTTTTACTATTATTATTTTTTTTAGAGTTTTGTTCCCAGATATAATAGATGTAAAGAAGCCTAAAACCTTACCACAGAGCTTACAGTTTAAGGACTCAAACCTCTAGTACTTCTATGAATATGAGTAAAAGAGATAAGCAGATAATTGGTCCCACTGAGCTCATGGACAGACAAAGTGCTTAAACATTTTCTGTGTTGTACTTCAGCTGCATACATGTTTGCATACAAGCCATATCCTATATGCAGAGCTACATAGAGAAAGACATGACAGAAAAGTAAGCATGAAGACAGAAAAGTATATAAGCAATACACTTGCTTTTTATAAACATGTACATGAAACAAGTTAACAACCTTGATATAAGAACCTTGATATAAGTTATAACTAGTACTGATGAACCATACAGTTCAGAAATAAGGTTTAGCTCTGTTTTTGTCTGCTTAGCAACCATTGATCCTTTTTCCTGGTTTCTATACACATGCCAGGTAGGAAATTGTAATAACATACCTTAAAATTCCATACCCCAGTTTGGAATTTGATAGGACAAAGTGTTGTATCTTTAAACTGAAAGAGGGTAGGGTTAGGTTAGGTATTGAGAAGAAATTCTTTCCTGAGAGGGTGGTGAAGCACTGACCCAGGCAGCCCATCTCTGGAAGTGCTCAAGGCCAGTCTGAAAGGGGATTTGAGAAAGCCCCTTGGTCTAGTGGAAGGTGTCCCTTCCCTCCCCATGGAAGAGAGATTGGAACGAGATGATTTTCCAGGTCCCTTCCCACCCAAACCATTCTCTGATATTCCTATTTAGGAGGCTATTTTAAAATGAGGCCATTTTTGTCCTTGGACCTTTTTTTACATATCTTATTATAAATCCTAAGTATGGGGAGTGTGCTAAGTTTTGGTTTATTTTATTTTCAAATGAGAAAAGACTCTTGGCTTGTTTGAGCATTAGTTTTTGATCTGGCTGAATTTTCCTTCTCCTCTGAAATGGATTTTCAATTGACATTACATCATAGAGACTGAATAGTTTCATGGTACAGTTAATATATACATAAAGTCCAAATAATTCAAAATATTATTAAAACAATATTCTTCAGAAGATAGAACTACAGCTACATCTAGCCCAGTATCCTGACTTTGATAGAGATCAATAATGCACAGCCTGAAGAAGAGCTCAAAAGCAGAGAAAACATTCACAAAACCTAACTGGTTTATCCTTCCAGCATTTCATGACCTCTGGTTCAGAAACTTTGGAGCTAAGGGACATTTCTTTGTTTATAGAAGTTAATGTAAAATCTAATATCCAAGTGGACTTTATCCCATACAACTGCAGCTTGCAGCATTTCATATGGATTTCACCAGCTACCTTCTAAATTACTTTACTTGGAAAACTAGATGCAACTGCTAAGAATTATACATGGACTGTTTCATTAGGATTCCATTTTCAAAGCCAATATATTTAAAAGTAACAAAACTGTCTTTGTATTAGAATGCAATCTACAAACACAGACATTCCTTTGATCCTTATTCCATAAATATATTTGCTCTTGAGACAAGCATCTTACATGAGTCTTCCAGCAATTTTCAGCAGTATCTCCTCCCAAAGAAGGGTCAGACTACACAGTATATGCAGTGGCAAAAGACAAGACAAATTAAAAGCACTCAGCAGCTTGCATTAATGTGCTCTAAGTCTAAATGTGCAATTAAAATAAAGCATTCACATTTGAAAAACCACTCTAAAAAGCTGTGGGGTTTGTCTCCAAAAGATTAGTCAAATGTGATTGATTTTGATTGTGGGGGAAGGGAGCAATGAGTTTGGTTCAAACCTAGACCTATTTAGGTAGCTTCTCTTTTAATATAGTTAGTATAAAGACACATTTTTGGGACCACCTGGAATTTTGAAGATGGAGTATATATAGGAACATAATTTCTGGAGAGAAAAAAAATAAACCTACAGAATGGATAGCTGTTCAGCTACTTGGAAATGTAACCAAACCAAAATCATATAGAGCAAGGTGTATTTTGTCAGATATTGCTGTATCCTAACTACCAGTAAGTATTTTTAATAATATGCAAAGCTGGAAGAACTGATTTGAATTTTATTCCTGATTTGAATACAGGACCAAGGTGTTTCTCATTACAGATTGAAATGAGAAGATTTTAATCAGTCAAAAGGAAGATGAACAGGCATCAGTTACTAGAAACTGCTGTGATTTCCAGTCACACTGATGGAGCACTAGGAGACTGGTATTAAAAAAAATAGTTACTACAACTAAAACATTTGAAGAGATGATGGTACCTAATGACTTTCAAACTCCATTCTCTACTGACAGATTTCCCTAATGGAAATTTCTTTCCTATTCTCATAATACTTGTCTTTATAAATTAGCTGAGTTTGACATAGAAAGCTTGCTATACAAGGCTGATTTTGAATCTGTTAAGCGCTTCAAACTGCAGATATATGAGAGATACAATCATTGTGTCCATGGGAAAATTGTCAGAAGTAATGCAAGCTCATCAACGCATTCAATTATAAGACTGGAATGAAGTGAGACTTTCTTGCTAGACATCAGAGATACCAGAAGTTTACCAGAAGGCACATAAAAGAATTTGAAACCATATATAAAAATAAACAAATCAGTGTCCTTTGCATCAAACAACAAATATGGTTCTCTGCCCACCCCTCCCCCATTTAGTGGAAAGTTTAAAAAGCAAGCATTCTGAGTAGATCCAGATAATATTACACAATATTTTCCACTCCTTTTGAAGGAGGAAAATACTGCGATCTCCACTTGGTTTCAAAATCTAGGCAAAAAAAAGTGTGTATATATATATATTTATAAAAACTATAGATGCATTATATATGAATATATATATATTAATTCCGTGGTTGATTACATAAAGCAAACTGTTTCAAATTAAACACTTATTTCAAGACTGAATAATTTAACAGAATAAAAGTCCAAAATGTGTAACCTATAATTCAAAGAATAGAATGATCAGTATATGACTTTTCCACAGTTACTAAGTGTACAAACTAAAATATGTGAAATAAAGTGCATTAAGTGGGCATTGTTTAGGATATAAACTATGTAAATTAAAAATAGCTAAGAATATGCATCTAACTTCAGTGACCTTGTGTTCAAGAGCTCTGCAGAAGTCAACCATCTCAAATGCCTTTCTTAAAAATAAACAGGAAGAGAGAAGATATCACACTTATAGATGGCTGATTTTGTGTCTGATAGACACATACTTCTGATGGACAACCAATTTTTGACCTTTATAGTATTAATCAGCTTCAGTGAAAAAGTAATTTTCCCAGTTTACAGTTGTCTCCTAAAGGCTTTCATCATAGCACATTAATA